CTCATACCAACGAATAATGCATTCTAGAAAGTAGGGATGCACCGAATGTTCGGCAACCGAAATTAAGGCCGAATAAGCGAAAAGACCGAATAAATTGTCTCGAACAATGATGTGACGCGATCAAATAGCAAGCAGCGCAGAGTGAGAGGCGCGCACTCTTTATAATGCAGCACACACGTCAGCAGTGTGGAAGCATTTAAACTGTCGGAGAAAGACGCAAAAATCATCACAAGCACCGACAGCGAGAGACTGTTTAGTACTGCATCACATCTCTTCAATGAGAAGAGGAAGGGCTGATTGTTGCTGGTTACTGTATGATGATTGAAATCGCGAAATGGCCTTAAACAATTAGTAAATAAACTGCAGAGCGTTATGTTTTCTAATACACGCACGCATTGCATGTATTCTGACAGCGCTGCACGAACTCGCAGCAGATCTGCTCGTTAACCAGGGTTCAAAGTCCAAAGCGCGAGGAAAATCTGCGCTGAGACAGTCGTCAGTTGCTCAGTCACATTTTTATGAATTTTTACAAGGCATGTGACAATGCGATACGTGTGATGTATTCGTATTGAGACTCATTTATAAATCTGTTGTCAACAAAAATAACATCGCGTTTCTGCCAAAATAAAAGTTGAGAAAAAGCAAGAACTCTTATCAACATTCATAAATGTTAGTATTGTAATTTTACTGTTGTTCTGTAAAATAAAATAAAAAGTAAGACAATAATAATGATAATAATCATTACAACAGCTCTGTTTTAATACATTTATTATAACATTCACACATAGTGTTCAAATTAGGATCTGTAGTATTTTCTAATGTTTTAAAAGAAGTCTCTTCTCAGCAAGGCTGCTTTTAATTGTACAGTAAAACAAACATGCCTGATTCAAGAAGGGGGTCTGATGGCCAAAAATGATTATTTTACTAACTTATTAATTTTAAGTTAAATTGTGCTTTGTTGGTATAGTGTCTGCTAGAATGTTAAAAATGTTCAGTGTTAAATATTTGTAAATAGTTTTGTAATTGATTTTTTTTCTTTGAAAAGCAAGACAAAACAGTAAAAAGCACATTTTGGCTTTTTAATTTATGCAATGGTGAAAAAAAAAAAATTGGCAAAATACACGAGGAAAAAACTCGGTATTCGGTATTCGGCCTTCGACCCAGTGTTTAATTTTGTTCGGTTTCGGCTTCGGCCAAGAATTTTCATTTCGGTGCATCCCTACTAGAAACCGCAGTAAAATCACTGGGGTTATTCACAGTATGTTGATCTTAACACTATAACTAAAACCACTTCAGATGTTTGTGAGATATTGACGTGCTCTGGAATGGCTTGATTTCCACCGAAGTCATCCTCAGGGCTTTACAATGCGTGAAAACCTCAGCTGGGATGAATATGAGCGCTGTTGTGCATGAATAACCAGTTGCATAAACCTGGCTGGTATGAAAAGACTGGTCTTAAGAACTTAGTCAAGGGCTGATCTGTCTTTCCAGATTCACATTAGGCCAGTCTGCTTTATGTAACTGACATGAAAATCTTTTGACCAATCTTAAGGAAAACTTGTAAGCTGTTTCAGTAAGCTCTCAGAGGCGTCGAGTCCTCCTAAGCACCGCTTTCATTTACAAGGGCTTTTTCTTCCCCCAGAAAGTATGTAGTAGTAGTAGCTTGATAAATAAACATGCACAGGAAGTCGGTGCATTTCCCAAAGCGCACACATGCAGCAGATGTGGGAGATGTGCTGCTTCTGCTGTGCGTTCGTGTGATGTTAACGTCATGCTGCGTGATGTTACGGTGTTTTGCTAATATGGTTTCCTGAGCATGCGACTCTCTGCAGAACCGGAGCGCTTCTGATCGCCGCTTGCCAGATGATGGATGGCGGCCGTGCTTCTTCAGGGGCGCGACCCAAGTGCTCACTTCCTGTTTAGAGTGGGTTCTGGCTCAGCCCCGTGTCAGGAGGAAACCGGAATGAAACAGGCAGCAAAGCGGCCTTAATTGAGACTGTGGTGGGATTGGTTTCCCATGATGCATTTGGAGCCGTGTGGGTAAAATGTGCCTTGTGTTTGCCCATGTTAAGGTGTTTACTTTAGATCAGTCCATTAGCATCCCTCCCTGAGAAAACAGCACTGCTGATATGTCAGGAGCACAGTATCCCCTTCGTTTCCGTGAGTCTGTGGAAGTACAGTAACCGTCCCGTCAGAGCCTGTCCTGTGGCCACATGAGAGATTCATACTGTTGTGACAAATGAATAGCATGTCATAAGTCATTGTTCTTTATGACATTATGTATGTTGTATTTAGATTAAAGTTGAGTTTTAACTTTTTTCTTGTTTTTATGAATCTGTGTGTGTATCTGCAGCATCCACACACTGTGCTGTGCACGAGTCCTGTTTCCAGTCTGGAGTGTAGTATTAAAGACGGCAAACGGCTGTAATCTCTATTATATTTTCCATTTCAATAAGCAGCTGGATAGTTAGTGCTGCACAGATGACATCTCATGAGATCTGTAAAGTTATTAGCCAACATGGAGGTCAAAATGAAAATGACTCTTCGTGTTCCTGGTCTTATTGTGAATGCTTTAGCATGGCATGCGATATATTACAGAAAACACAAAACAGGAAACATGCTCAACTAAGTCATCTTTTATCAAAGTAGCAATTTCTGTTCCTTAAACTTGTGTTCCTTAAATTCTGTAATATTTGCATCACTGTTGACAGGAATCGATGGAGGGGATGGTTTCTGACTGTTATCAGTGTGTGTGTGATGTCTAGTCTTTCACGTGCCGCTTACTGAGCCTCGCTGATTCAAGCTCAAACAAAGCGTAGTTTTCATCCGTCACGTATCCCCTCTCCTGCCCACGTCTGCGGGACGCTGAGGAGAAGGCGCTCGTGTTGACGGATGGCTCAAGGTCCCTCACTGATGAACTTTCTGTTTAGACTTCATGATCAGCTGTTGTGTGCTCTGGGACTTGCTCCTGCTTCGTCAGGAACCCATCAAAAGAAAAAATGACTTGCAGTGATTAGTAGTTGGCAGTGAACTATCCTAACTTGGGTCGACATGTCTGTGGAGGGAGTCATCATTATACAATAATATATGCCCACTCAATGCAGTTCAATTCAATTCATCTTTATTTGTGTAGCGTTTTTCCCGATACAGAAAATGAGCGTTTCTACATTACCTTTAGGAGTAGATTATCAGCGGTGATTGTCAAGGGGAAGTCCATATGGCAGAACTGTACAGAAAAAAATCACGCAGCTAGTTAATGACATGCATTCAACCAAACGCTGAACACTATTAACAGCAGTGATTATATGTTGCGATCAAACTTGTTTGATGGTTCAGGGTTGGCATCTTCTGTTCTCAGGTGTTCGGTCATCTCAGATCTTCATAAAGGCTGGATCCAGACTGAAGCTGGTGTAATTCCTATTTACCTCAGGATTCCCATCCTGTGACAGAAACAAAGAAGCAAATAGAGAAAAGTTAGTGTAGCTGCTGTTCAAACCAAGCAAAGAGTGATAAAGTGCATTAGTATTATACACGGTATTATCAAAGCAGTGAGCAGGAAAAATGACTGTTTGTTTGACGCTCCGTGTGTTGGTCATTTGCATGTCGGTCAGAGCACCTCTCACAACAAGGCACTTCTCGTTGCAGGTTAGTCTGGCTTGTGTCATTAATCTGTCAAAGTGGAAACGTTAGCAGCTGACAGGGTTTTTTAAGTATCACCTGATTTATCTGCTGGTGTGTTGTTTGCTAATTTTCCTTCCCATACCCACTGCTGGAAATAAAAGCAGAAGACATGGAAATATAAAACTGATTTGATAAGGCCCTAAAAATGTAGTTTTTGTTGCATTTTCAATTAATTGTTACATTTTAAACAAGTTTAATGATTAATTATTTAGACATTACTGAAATTTAGTTTACCCATTAAAACAGATTTTTTTTATTTATTTATTATTATTTTTTTATTTAAAAAATTGCAACCAAGACCAATTAAAATGGAATTTGGGTGAAAATAAAACCGATTTCATGCTGAAATGATCTAGACTGAAATTCTTTGTTCATCCTGTTATTAGATTCTGCCGTGAATTAGGCCACGTTATATTCTGTCATTATCAGTAATAGAATAGTGTTTGGCTTGATAAGCTTTAATCACCACTAATCACAATGTGTGCTAACGAATTCTTCCATTATTAGATCCCCACCTTCACCAAGGTTATTCATCACGGGTTAAAGGTTGTGGAGGGGAAAAATATTAATAAAGTGCTGGCAAGTCATTAGGCGTGTAATACAGTATGTCCTGAAGCCACCAGCCATCAATAAACACAGCTCCGCGTCACATATGAATCCCATCAACACTCACTCATTTGGTCAAGGACACGAGCTTCACGTGCCCTTCAGCGGAACGAATATCCTGAAGAAATGCGCGGGTGTGGAGTGAAGAGAGATCTGTATCCTCGCTGAAGATATGACCCATTTCTCCTGTACTTTTGTCCTCTGCATGGAACGCTTCCATCGAACGCCTCTAACAGCCGTCAATACGGCCCCCAGCTCCTGCACTCGCATCGAACCACTGCTAGCTTTTTCCTCACAGTCAGATCCAGCGCTTTATGTGTGCCGGACAGGATGCTGTGAACTCCTCACATTGGCATTGTAAAGTCTGTGTGTGGATGTGCAGGAGCTGTAACGAGCGGCTGTCTCCGTCATGGCATTGTTTCTGTGGAGGAGGGACACTTCCTGTGTTTGACCTTTAACAGACACAAGGACCGCTAACTGTGCTGCTGAACTCTTTTCATGCTTACAGTTCATTTTAATTTGCATCAGCCACTTGTACATCATGATGTTGGGTTGTATCTCCCATCAGACTACTGCGTTATTGAAATAAACAACTATGACATGAGAGACTTTTACTTGAAGTTAACAGCACTCTGGTCTTGAGTGATTCTTCATTGCATGTTACTCCATTCTCAGTCAGACGTATTAATGCGTGTGGGTATCTGTGGTTGCAGGAGCCGTTCGAGGATGGCTTTGCTAACGGCGAGGAGCTGACTCCTGCTGAGGAGGCCGCAGCTAAAGAAGCCTCCGAGTCTAAAGGAGTGGTGAAGTTCGGCTGGATCAAAGGAGTGCTGGTAAGAGGAGTTAACATCAGATCAGCAATCAAACATGCTTCAGCAGAAGGCAGCGCAGTGGCTGATGTACGAACCTCAGGACGGAGAACCTCATTTGTCTCAGAATTGTGGCACCCACACTAAATCAAAGATGGGAATGTGGGCGACGAGTGAGATCTTTCTGCTGTGGGTGATAATTGGGTTTTTTGTTAGTTTGCTATATCTGCTGCCTGTAGACTCCTGTTAGAGGCTGTATGTTAAACTGTCGTGCTCTTGTAATGTTTAATAAGCTAATACTCTCAACAAGCTGTGGCTTTGCTCAGTGCAGACCGTCTTCCCCGCTGTTGCGTGTGAATCCAGTAAAAGCTTTATGGTTCACAGATCAGCTCTGCTTCTCTTCTCTTGGTCAATATTTTGACAGGTCTTCCTTGTCCTCAAAATTGTCCTCATTTTCAACTTCCCAGTCTTAACATTTGACACCAAACAGCTTCTCATAGTGTCGACAAGTGAAAATTAATTTTCATCCAAAGTGTCTTTCAAACCACGGCAGGAATTCAGTCAATGTTTGAAACCGGTTTGTGTTCAAATGCGTTTGAAGGACTGATCTGGGTTCTCTGTCGGCAGGCTTTGTGGTGTAATGTCTGTTAACTCGGAAGGAAATTTCAGCTCTTCCCTC